GAATAAAGTCTTTAAAAACTAACAAACAAACAAGAGACCACTAGAGAGTTGACAGAACTCAACAGCACATAGGGGCGCCTGGATGGCTCAGCTGGTTAAGCATCCATCTCTTGATTCTGGCTCAGTTCATGATGTCAGCATCTTGAGAGGGAGCCAGAAGTTGGGCTCTGTGCTGGGGGCTTGGAGCATGCTTAATATTCACTCTCTCCCTCCCCCCACCCTGCCCACGTGCTCTCTATCTCTCCAAAAAAAATAAGTCATGACGTTCCACGAATAATGAAAAATAAGATGGAAGAGTTAAGATACAGCTAAGTCAGAGGTCTTCACATATAGGCTAAATGTATTAGGCTCCATGTCACTAGTTCCTGTCATTTTTCTTACCAGTCAAACCTTGGGCACAGGATGTGAAAATCAACAGGTGCTCAAGCAACATCCCCATTCCAGCAAGTATTATCAGCAACCATTAGAACAGTTCTCTTAAGTTTTGTCATCACTCTTTATTCAGGTGAATAATTAGTCCTTGAAACAGAGGTGAGTAGGTCATAGAATGTTTGCTGAGTTCCTGAAGACATGCATACATAAATATGTACACACAGAAGAAAAGAAGACAGAGAGATTTACACAAGGCTAGGCCATGTAGACACACTAAATATGACTAACAGCCTAGCAGGGTAGCAGAGTTGTTCCAGCCAATGCCTATCCCATCTCATCCCTTAAGGCAAACAATATTTATTCTATCAAGATAGTGATCATATAAAGCCTTAATATATTACCCATTTATTTCCAATCAGTGGAAGGCTCATGTTATTACCCGCTAGTAATGATCATTCCAGGGGAAATGGAGGATAGTATTTTTGCACAGTATTTATTTGCTTTTCTATGTTTATTTTTCACACCAAATGAATATATCATGACACACACTTTGGTAGCTGAGGATTTACCCAGAGTCACATCGCAGTTGCAAGGGCAGACCTGTAATTGCCGCCCGGTGTGCTTCTTCATGTGCTCTTCAACTTGCTGCCTCCAAAGAGCCACTTCCCACCACAGTTTTAGGACTAGTCTCTAACTAGAATTTTATCCTATTTCTATAGCAATTAAGAAAACAAGATTGTATGAGGGCACAGGGTATTACTGTACTTAAGTGTTTTTCAAAATGCAAGTCAGAACTGGTGAATTATGAGATAGAATAGAATAAAAGGCACCAAGAGTCATCCCATATAATAAGGCTATATTTTGTTTCTTAACAATTTAATTTGTCTAGGCATATGTAGGCTGTAACACAAAATTTATTTCTTGCTTTGGATACACAGTCAAAATGTTTAAAAATCAAGGTTCGGTGCAAAGAGCCCAGTGTTTGGCATGAGACAGGTCTAAATCTGAATGTTATTACTGCTGGTATCGTTACCTAAAGAATTCCTGCAATGAGATCCCAGCCAATTCCCTTCTCCTCAGACTGCTTATGAAACCAAAGAAAAATACCTTCTCTCAAATATTAATTCCCATTACAGTGGCTCTTAGAACCTTCTTATTGTCAACCAAACTGCTATTTAAATTATGAAAAGAGGGGCGCCTGGGTGGCTCAGTCGTTGGGCGTCTGCCTTCGGCTCGGGTCATGGTCCCAGGGTCCTGGGATCGAGCCCCGCATCGGGCTCCCTGCTCGGCGGGAAGCCTGCTTCTCCCTCTCCCACTCCCTCTGCTTGTGTTCCCTCTCTTGCTGTCTCTCTCTCTCTGTCAAATAAATAAATAAAAAATCTTTAAAAAATAAAATAAATTATGAAAAGAAAAAAAACTTACTCACCCAACCTGTATCTATCAATGCTTAGCCTAAACTCCATAAACACAGAAATCAAAATCTATTTCCCTAGCAGTCAGGCCAGGGCTTTTAAATATGAGGAACTCAATGGGCATCTGAATTATAATGACGGCTGAATAAATAAAAGACTGAGTGAGCCAGTAAGTGACTATCTGTGGCAGGCAAGAGACACAGAAATGAACAAGGCATAGATCTGGGTCTTCAAGAAAAGAAGCATACGCATGTATTACTTTATTCATGTTTTCAGCAAATATTTATTCAGAACTTTCTATTTAACCAGGCACTTGGTGAGGTAGTGCAGTTACAAAACAACCATATTTGCTCCCTAAAGGGAAAGGGATATTACATAATAATCATATAAACAGCCACAGAAAAAATTTAAGTGATGCAGGGTATCAGGAAATAATATAACAACAAGCCCTAGCGTACATGCAGAACAGAGTAAGGAACTAATTGGAAAAGCAGCTCCATGAGAAAATTATATTTAGCCTGAGTCTTGAAGGTTAAAACCTAAAGTCTATTTTTTTTTTTCCTGTGGAGAGTAGCTTTGAGGAAGAAATAACAGTAGATACTGTCTTGAAGGAAATTTCAGAAAGCCAAAGGGGACTTCAAAAGTTAATCAACACCTCTCAAGGCCAGATTTACCCTCGGGGAGGGACACAGACAATGATGCCATTATCTTTGCTCTGTTGGTATAAAATTATGAGAAACATTCAGCATTGAGGTTATTTTGGATACAGATTCAAGAAGAGAACATGGTAACAAATTAAGCTTGGGAGGTGGTACAAGGTAAGGGCAAAAAGAGGCAGTAAGGGGAACGCTTAGGTTTTGGCTTAACCAACCTGTTGGAAGGCAGAGAAGCAAAGGGGAGCCTGAAGAGAAAAGTATTTGTGGTGAATGATCAAAGTAGTATTACGGGACATGTCACATTTGAAGTGCCCATAGGATGTCCAAACAGTCAAGAAGGCTCTTAATATCTGGTCTGAAGATCCAAAGGCAGGTCTAGGAAAGAGATACATATCTGGGGATTTTATAAAGATATAATTTAAATGATGTGAATCAATGAGTTTACCTAAGGAAAATGAAAAGTGAGACATGAATAGGGCACAGGACCAATACTTGAGAAACTCCAAGTCTTCACTCATTAGAAGAAGAGGAGTCAATAAGGAGGACAAAGATGATATGAGAATGGAGAAGGAATGAAGAAATGCAGAGGACTGTGCAGTCATGAAACACAAGAAAAGAAATTATATCTTGGGGCACCTGGGTGGAGCAGTAGGTTAAGCATCTGACTCTTGATTTCCACTCAGGTCATGATCTCGGCAGCCTGGATCAAGCCCCACATTGGGCTCTGCACTCAGCGGGGAGTCTGTTTGTCCCTCTCCCTCTCCCCCCCTCACAACCTCCTTCTCTCTCCCTCCCTCTCTCTCTCTCTCACAAATAAGTAAAAAAATCTAAAAAAAGAAAAAAAGAAAAGAAATGATATTGAGTGTGATCAAGTGTGAAGAATTAGAGACCATGTGTTCTGAAAAATTGTCCATGGAATTGATTTGAATTAGTGACCAAAACAAGAGGAAGTTCAGTGGCAGTAGAGAGGCAGGAGGAAGCTAGGATGGTGAAGGTTGACATAAATGGAAGATGGGGGAACCATCATACACAGTTTCAACAGTGTGTTATGTGTTGCATTCAACCACCATGGCAGCCCAGAAAGAGCAGAAGTTTTCCAATAAGAAACAACATTTGAAGTGAACCTTAAAGACAGAGGAAGAATTCATCGATGCATACGGGTAAAGAAGAACATTCCGGTTAGATGGAACGGCATTATAAATCCTGAAAAAATAACGACAATGAAATTATAGTGATGGGCAATGTTTCTAAGTGTTTACCATGTGCCAGAAACTGTTGCAAACGCTTTACATGTATGAAGTTCACCTGAACTATAGAGTCAACCTCTTCCTTCCTCTTCCACCATCAGTTCTTGGTTGGACTAGTACAGGAGCCCAGCAGCTGGTTTTCCTGCTGCTGCCCTTGTCTTCAAGTTTAAGTCTTAAGCAGGTAAAATAACCTTTTAGGATGACCACCATATCATGTCATTCCTGCACCACAGCTCTAAGGGCTTTCCCTCAGGTTCCAAACCAAAGTCCTTACTCCAGCCTACCCAGCCCTTCACTGTCCAGGCCTCCCTGCTTCCTTTACCGCACTGCCTAGGTGTCCTTCCAGCACTGTGCTCCAGCCAGATTATCCATCACCCTGGATGTTTGTCAAAAGGGTCAGGCAAATTTTTGCCTAAGAGCCTGGGCCCTCACTGTTCTCTCTGTCTGGAGTGCCTGTTCTTGGATATCTGCATGGTTCAGTTCTTCACTTCCTTCACGTTTCTGTTCAGACGTCACTTAATGACCAATCTATAACAACTATCTCCCGATCCTCCAGCACCCTTATTATCCTTTTTATCCTTTTCCTCCATAATATTTATCATAATCTGATATGCTTTATAATTATCAGATGACTTTCTTACTGCCTGTCTCCCCCAGCTAAAATGCAATGGAGGCTCCTTGAGGGCAGGGACTGTCATTTTTACTCACTGATGTATCCACAGACATGAGCACAGTTCAACACCAGGGAGGATCTGAGATTTTACCCTACTGGAAGCTAACAAGTTAGCTTGCCACAGTTAAAGGGATGCTGGCAGAAGACACAGGCTGCTGAGTCAGAGACAAGGGACTTAATTATTCAATAGCAATAACCAGAGTGCCAGTGCCATCCGGTTTCCCAAGCCGCAGTTTTTACAGGGTGACATGATGAGGACCAAGTGGTACCTACAGAGAAAGTGCATTGTGCTCCATAAGAAGGATGCCATGCTTTTTAAAAATCCCTAATCTTTTTTAAGGGGCACCACACCCACCTAATCTTTGCACAGGTGAGAGATATTATCTTTATTATAATGAACAGGAAACAAACCTCCCCTTTGCTCCAGAGAGAAACACTATTCCACTTTCCAAGTCCATTTGTTGTACAAACTCTTGAAAAGAGCAACTGAGGCACAGGCAGGCAGTCAGTGCCTCTCCTCAGAAGACAGGCAGAAACACAAAACAGAACTGAGAACTGTCTCCCAATAACACGTGGTAGAACAATACTTATGCTTGAATGAAAGATAAACACTCTGAGTTAAATGCTTTTATTATTTCAGATCTCAGATGAATAAAGTGAGGCACAGCATGAATGAACTACCTGTACAAGAACACAGAGCTAGTAAGTGTCTGGTGAGCACAATCTGGCCCTGGAGCACACATACACACCTTAGGGACCTGATCCCTCTCTAACTCTAACCTGTCTCTCTGTCAGCTACCTTGGGCTTTGTGGATGAGTGACAGAACAAAAGAAAAGAGGAAGAATAAAAAAAGGGAAAAGCTGGAGGAAAAGAAGAAAGAATAGAGAGCAATTTTTGGATATCCATACCCATTTATATATCCAGAGCTAGAGTACAGGGGACCTTTGAGTTCACCTTATGGATGAGGCCACTGGGGCTCCCCATAGTCACAGAGGAAGTTAGGGGGAGAACCAACTAACCGACCACCAGAACTTTTCTGACAGAGTCTTGGCCTTGCATATGGCAGGCCTGTGCTGTTTCTTTCATCTTTCTTACGCAAGTGACATTCCCAAAACTTGGGGCCAGGCTATGTTACAGAGTTAATCAATAACCAAAGATCTGTGACAGGGCAGGAGGTGGCGCCTGGACGGCCAACCTAACTATATAACCCTTCCAGTCCCAGGGTTCTGAAGAGAAGTGGTAAGTTCAGTGCAGTTTTCCACTGAGGTCTGGATACCGAACTTTTCAGCCATGAAGGTAATGAGCATCTTTCTTCTTAGTGCCTTGGCCCTGTTGAGCTTATCTGGTAGGTGCCTTTGCATATTTTTCTGATTGAGTAAAACCTTTTTGACGTGTTGCATTACTGAGCTCATTACATTCTAGACTTAGAGTCTAGTCTTGGACAGATCTTTTGGTCCCAATGAAATGAAATAAGGTCAGGGACCTATTCCAGGGGGCTTCTTCAAACCCAGAGATGCCTTGCTGCTTCTCATAAAATTTAGCTAGGAGGAGCTACCTCCTTACCTAGATCACCTCAGAAATTGTCAATATCAAAATCAAATCTCACCAACATTTCTTCCTTTGGATACTATCAAGCTACTTCCTCTTCCCTTCAATAAGCTCATTCAAGATCACCCACCCCTACATAATGTCAACAAACCTGTTATTTTCTAGGGAATGCAGCATGGCAATTTTAAGTACCTATCTGTAAATTCAAGAAATGTGAATTGGACTAATAAACAGTGTAATGTAATAGAGGGAAAGAGCTCTTTGGGGACTGATGGTGAGATGTCAAAAGAGTTCTATTTTTAACATTACTTACTAAAGAAGACTTACATGTAATTGCAAGTTAGTTTTGTGTCACAAGATCTGGCTGGTGCTAGTGGTAACTGTTTCACAAATTTTCATATAAACTCTCCACATCTTTGTTTATACACTGACACTTCTTACATCACTAATTATAAGATCAAAGGTCTAGTAACCAGTTGTGAGAAGGCAGTGAAGATTCAGAAGATATTTGCTCTGCGCCTGACACATTTCAAGCAGTAAGTAAATCACTTCTATTTTCAAAAGACATAGGTCAACTTTCATGAAATGCCCAATTGAGATACTTTGGTCATAATCAAACTTCTGCTTCATTTTCTTAAAGCTTCAGTAGGCAGGGAGTGATGGGGCACCAGTCGGATGTCCTTGAGAGAAGGCAGAAATAAGAAGGGGTTGGGTGGGGCACCTGGGTGGCTCAGTCGGTTGAGCATCCGACTCTTGATTTTGGCTCAGGTCATAATCTTGCCCTGCATCAGGCTCAGTGCTCAGCAGGGAGTGTACTTGAGGATTCTCTCCATCTCCCTTTGTCCTTCCCCCTGTTCATGCGTTCATGCGCTCTCTCCTTCTCTCTCAAATAAATAAATAAATCAGAAGAAGAAGAAGAAGAAGAAGGAGAAAGAAGAAGAAGAAGAAGGGGAAGGGGAAGGGGAAGGGGAAGGAGAAGGAGAAGGAGAAGGAGAAGAAGAAGAAAGGTGGGGAGCAGAAGAGGCCAGCAGAGAAGTCTTCAATGGAAGTGGAAGATTGCAAATAAGAGCAGATTCGGCTTCTCCCATTTAGTACCTGACCTCACATGTCTCATTTATGTTTTCTAGGTACCACTAGAGCTGGCTTGGTGGGAAGAGAGGTAAAGACAATTTTGTACTTTTTTATCTCTCAGGCTAGAACTATTTACTCCACTCAACTCACGGCCAAGCTGTGACATTTCAGTTCCCCTGAAGTCAGGACAGGTGTGTGGTACTAGTGAGGCTTCACCTGCTAAATGTGGATCGTGACAGCAGTGCCCCACAGGGTCTTATGCTGAAGGACAAATGCACCGACACACAGGCAGTTTCCATGTTGTCATATAATGCTTGCTGTGAAGGCATTCTGAATGTTCTGAGGTTATCTGGTACGGCAAGGATTCGAGGGGGGGGCATTCTTCTTAACTTCCCTCCAAGCAGCCTTCCTCCTTACAGCCAGTTTGAACATGTTGGCATAAAGTTCTCCCAATCCCCAAGGTGAAGCTCTAATTTATAATGAGCAAAAGAAAATAATAAACTAGGTTCTTCCTCTAGAAAAATATTCTATACCTAACTTTTCTTTTTTTGTTCTGAGTTTATAAATTTATTAACTGCGGTAAATTTGAAGACCAGGGAAGAGAAGTGTCCCTTTTCATTTATATATAGTGAGGAGATAGACGGCAAACCAAAAGGGCATGAGTAAATAAATTATTACACTAATGATAAGGGTTTAAAGAAATTCAGGTACCATCTGGAACCTAGCCTGGTTAGATCACAGAATGTGCCCCTAAGTGAGATATATTTTGAGCCATGAAGGATAAGAGAATGTTAGCAAAATATAACTGGTGGGTAAAAGTAGTAGACTGAAGTGGTGAAGAGCCAAAGCTCAGGACCTAGACCAACTGGGTTTGAATCCTGGATCTGGAATTACCAGCTGCGTAGCCTTGGGTGATTTAATCTCTTTGTTCTTCACTGTCTTCACTGGAAGAAGAGTATAATAAAAAAGTCATAGGATAGTTGTAAGATTTAAATAGAGTAATACATGAAAGCACATGCCTATGACAGCCATCTCATAACTACATCCCAATAACTACAGCATTCTTACTGATGTCCAGGAAACAGACTGTGCAAGGGCTCCCAGGGCAGAAAGCACCTGAAGTCGTCACATGACTAAGAGAAGGGCAGGGTGACTGGATCACAGTGGGCAAGGAAGACATGCCCACGGTGTGGCTGACCTGACAGGAACCAGCACCTGCCATCATTGCAAACTGGAACATGATCTCACTCACCTTATTTAAACCTCACAATGCCACCATGAGATAGGTGTGGAAGCGATAATATCCTTCCCATCGTGCAGATGAAGTGACTGAGGCTCGGAGCCACCAGGAGATTTGCCAGCATATTATAGCTTGTAAACAGCAGAGGTATTACATGCAATCAGGCATTCTGATTCGAAACCTTGGATTCTTCCTCTCAGACACTCAGTATCACTCCCCCCATCACCGCCGGGCTTCCATCTTTAAGCTAACCAACTTAAGGAAGTGAAAACCCTTTTAGAGATTTTGCTATAAACTCAAAGAATGCTAAATGATGGAAAATAATTCTGTTTAATTCCATTTTTAGGCTAAATGTAACACTGAAACGACTGCATGTACCAAGATCTATAATCCTGTCTGTGGGACTGATGGAGAAACTTATTCTAATGAATGTGTGTTATGTGTTCAAAATAAGTGAGTACAAACTTGAATGTCTTTTAAAACATATTTTTAAGCTAGTTGTCTTCAAATTTTCATATATCTTATCCCTCTAAGTTCCAATCAATATACCAATAACATTAATTTTACCATGAGAGAAACAAAACATCTCGACTTTCCAAAAATAATTCCCAATCCCTTTTTCTCATTACATATCTGGTATGATTATCTACAGAGATGTGCATGTGTTTATGTGTGTGTGTGTGTTGTTATACAAAACAATACTTACTGTGTCAGGCATTGGGCAAGGCACTGAATACTCACAAATCTATGGGGCAGAGAATACTAAACCCATTATGCACATGAAGAAGTTGAGACTGAGCTTAATTAACTTGCTCAAGATCAACCAGCAGTAAGTGACAGACGTGGGTCCAAATCCTTGCTCTTTCAACTATGCTTTAAAGTCAGGTACCAGACTAAGTATTTGTGAGATACAGAAGGAAGTCCAACATGTTTCAAGTCTCAGTTTGGTTACACTCAATGCTAATACAGTGTAGTCAGTGGAAATAAGAGCAAAGTGCTCTGAGAGCACAATATTAAAAACAACTAATTATGCCTGCTACAATTCGGAAAAGTTTGGAGGCTTTGTTTAGGCCATAAAGGAGAGAGAGGCACTCCAATAAGAAGAAAAATCTGAACAAAAGGGAGGAAGGTATTAATAACATGGTACAAGATAAATGTGTTAAGGAAAGGATAGTGGAATAGAGGAAAGTGTTTGAATGGTTCTCTGAATTAATTTTTCAAAAACCACTTGTATAACAAAAACCCATGCTTACAGCAAATCAACAGATAGTCTAGATTTTTAAAAAGCTAATACACCCAAAATACCTAAGTTTAAAAGATCACAGGGGCGTCTGGCTGGCTCAGTTGCTAGAACATGTGACTCTTGATCTTGCGGTTGTGAGTTTGAGCCCCATGTCAGCTGTAGAGACTACTTAAAAATAAAATCTTGAAAAAAAATCATACTTGGTGATGGTAATGATTGTGTTTATGAAAGCCCTCAAAAATGCAAATATGAATTATATGGATCAGGTGACCAAAAACATACTTTTGTAACATTCTTTTATGGAGATGAGACCCAGCCTCAGTGAATCTCATTTTCTGAAGTGATCATAGGTAGGTGCTGGGAACCAAACTCAGGCCCTGAGAGAAGCAGATCTGCCACAAATTTTCTATTTTACTCAGCTCCTAAACACCTAACATGTGCCCAGCATTGTGCCGGTTTCCTCTGCTTTCCTTGTGCTTATGAGTAAAAGAAAATAGGTCTTAAGTGCAAATAAGAAAGCTTCTGGTAACTTGGGACAAGTGCCATCAAATGAGGTGTGAGGAAAGTACCACAGGAGTGAAGGAGAGACACAGATTCCTTAGTACCAAAAGGGTCAAGAAAGGATTCATGAAAAGGATGTCATTTAAACAGGGCTCTGAATTTTGGCAACACTGCAAAGGCATTCCAGGTTAAATAAAGATGTAGAATGAGCAAAACAAATAAGAGATTCCACAAGTAGCCCAGAAAACTGTTATTCTTAGAACTGATTTAGCATTAACGACTTTGACTTAGACTCAAATGACTGCACGCATTTCCATTATTCTGTAGTATAAATTCCCAATAACATGACCTCTCTTCTTGGTCTGCTTTAAATCACTTCAGAAAATCCTCAGTGTTAGCAAGGATTGTTGAAATAGGGCCCCAGGGAGAGAGATCTAATATCCTTAAGTTTTAGAACCAAAATACTAGGTGTTCTGCTTTGTGGTGAATTTATTTCCACACTAAAGATTTGTAAAAGGACTGGAAAACACTTGTTAATTTTCTCATGACCTAGGCTGTTGACATAAAGGTCAAACATCATATTTCCATCCAAGGGGAGGAGAAAGCAACATAACAGCCTTGAGATTTAGAAAACTCCCAAGTGCCAAGACCAAAATGCCCAATGTTTAGAATGAAATATTGCAAAAATATGAGCATACAGCTGAGACACCCCACTCCCTTAGCCTTTAAAACCTACCTGTCCTGCTTACTCATTCTTTTTTCTCAAAAATATTTAAATATGGGAAGAACATTTGAATGCCAGAAAATGTAACTTCTCTTCCTGTATTTCTCAGATAAGAAAACAGGTCTAGGGGTGCTTGGGTGCCTCAGTGAGTTGAGTGTCCAGCTCTTGGTTTTGGCTCAGGTCATGATCTCATGAGTCATGGGACTGAGCCCAAGTCGGTCTGCTTGAAGATCCTCTCCCTCTGCCTCTTCTCACTCTCACTCAAATAAATTAATTGATTTAAAAAAGAAAAAGAAAACAGGTCTAGAGAGAAAATGTGGCTTTTCCTAGTGTAAAATACTTACAATGTACCATACCACCTTTCTACTGTCCGTTAAAAGCCCCCCAAAAATACTTTGTTGAGTTAACTAGAACCAGGCTCTGACCCTAGTTGTTGGGTTTTGAGATGGGTAGACAAAGGCTTGCATCTCCTTGATCATTACGTGCTTGTCAGATATAATCGGTAAGGACTTTTTTCTCTGTCTTCTCAGGGAATTTGTACTGGCAAATTCTGTTCTATAGACCAGCACTCTCTAGTAGAACTTTCTGCAAAGATGGAAATGTTCTGTAACTGTGTTGTCTAGTATGGAAGCCACTAGCCTTGCCACCAGCACTTAAAATGTGGCTCGTACAACTGAGAAACTGAATTTTTAATATTACATAACTTTAACTGATGTGAATTTAAATAGCTAAATAGGGATGGTGTCTTCTATATTGGACAACACAGCTATAGAAGGTAAGTCAACCTGTGTACTGTGTTTAGATGTTTGTGCTATGTATGCTAAACAACTCAGACAAGTATTATGCATGGATAATATTTATGGAACAAGAAAACAATAAAAACTCTTAAAATGAAGAATCATCAAGGTCCAGATAAATACATGCATAGATATATGGAAGTCAGATGTCCTCAAGTAACAGAGAAATAGAAGAATTTTTATAAACCAGTAGTATATTCAAAGAAAGGATGGTTAAAAAAGAGAGAGAGAGCTCTGAAAACAACCTCATGAGGCACAATTACAGGATTTAGAATATTTAACTGACAGAAAAGAAAACTGGTTTGGGAAAGGTAGTGTCCTGGGGAGCAGAGAGGTTTTTATCTGGAGGGGAGGATGCTCAGACCTGGCAGGTATCAGATAGGATATAGATATGATTTCCTTCTGTGAGATCTCACAGGTATTAAACCCCAGAGTTCTAAGGCAAAAGATCAATTAGAACATCCTGTAGTAGCCCAGGCACCAGCTAAGCTGGATACCTTGTGGCTAGAACAATGATATTAGGAGAAAAAGAAGCAACAATGAATTAGAGATTGATTTCAGAGGTTTACTGTAATGCCACAGTAGATCTGTAAACTCTGTAAGGACATTTTTCCTTTCTGTTGTATCCCTAGTGTATATAAGAGTGTCTGTCAGTATTTGATGGATTAATGAATAAGTGAATGAATACATGAATGAAAGGCAGGGAAATGGGAATAAAAATTTGAAACCTTTCTATTTTAAATAAAACTGATGTTTTTTCATTGTTTTTCTCCCATAGTCACTTTTTTGTCAGCAAAGTTCAAGCTGATTTTTTTTTCATTCTCTTCTACAGGAAGCGCCAGATCCCTATCCTCATTCAAAAATCTGGACCTTGCTGAGAACCAAGGTTCTAAAATCTCCTGTGGTCCCCACAATGCCTAGCGGACCTGACTGTTGAATAAAATGCATCTAAATACTTCCTGTTGTTCCTGTATGCTTTTTCCTCAAAGGCATGTTTGATTACACTGGGGTCAGGGGACTGAGACAAACTCAGAATAGACCAGATTTTACAAAATACAGCAATTCTGAAATCCTGGACAAGGTTTCCATCATGATGCTTTTTCCTTCTCCATTCCCTTCCTCACATACTGACTACTGTCTCAGGAAAATGTGATTACAGTTATTAACTGACAGGACCCAGTTGATCCTGAGGACAATAATCCCACAGAGAATTAAACTAGCTTCAGAAGGAATACTTGGAAAACTTTCAGTCCAGAAACATGTTATCTGTTAGCTTTCGTGACTGAAATAATTTCTTTAGGTTGCCTTGGGATTTAATAGAGCATCTATTGTACGAGGACTCTGTGTAGCTGACTTGGCTTTATATGTGAGCCACAATGACGCTGTAAGGTTATCCTTATCTTGTGAGTCAATGTAGAAAAGTTAAGTAATCTGACTAATAGCACCGGCAAATAAGGTAGCAGAGTTAGGTTTTTAATCCAGGGTGGACTCAAAAATCGAATGCTTCGTCTAAACCACAATCACCTCAGGTGGATTATTCCTTGCCTAGTTCTTCTATAGGAACTTTAGGTAGCTTCCTCATATTAAAAGACCTATGTGCGTAGGGACAGCAAATAAGGTAGAAATAAGAAGTACCTCAAAAGAAAAAGTATCTATAATCACTAAAAAAGAGATGGAAAAGCAGCTTGAATTCTTGAGCCCTTATGAAGAACTAGCCGAGAAGGGAGAAGCGGATGGAGGCCTAAAAAAACCTGAGATGTATCAGGTGCATCAAGATCTTTCCCAACACAGTTGCCTGACACTCTTAAGGTTTAGGATAATTTCTTGTCATGTTCAGAATATTCACGTCTTGAAGCTTAAATCTGACCACTAGAGGATGCTGTGGTCTCCCGCGTGACAGCCAAACCAGAGCCTAAAGCTCGCCAGATACCTTGCTAGCAGAAGTTATGGATGCAAGATGGCTTCCTGCATCTCGTCTGTGATGCTAGAGGACACTTGAAGGGCACCCTTAATAGTAAACAACTTTGCCGCAGTAAACGGAATTTAAATAATTGAATGCTAGAAATTGTCATGTCTAATTGGACCATTTTACAGGTCTGGAGAGAAGAGGTTTGAAGGTTATAGGTAGAAGGAATACATAAACCCAGATTGTTTACCTTCAGTGGTTCTGCTCCCTCTCTCTGACCTGTTAAAAGGTAAACAGAGGCAACCCACATCTCCGCCTGGCCATATTTTTTTTTTTTAAAGATTTTCTTTATCTGACAGAGAGAGAGGGAACACAAGCGGGGGGAGCAGGAGAGGGAGAAGCAGGCCTCCCACGGAGCAGAGAGCCCGATGTGGGGCTCGATCCCAGGACCCTGGGATCATGACCTGGGCCGAAGGCAGACGCTTAACGACTGAGCCACCCAGGCGCCCCCGCCTGGCCATATTTTTTGGAGCTGCCAACCTGACAGATGCCAGGCCAAGTTCTCAAGACACAAAACAAGACAAACAAGAAGGGAAAGGATCGACAACTAATGGTATCTAAAAGCAAATTCATGAGTCACAATTGGAAGATCTAATGTTGGTTTTTTTGTTTGGGGGGGGGGAGTTGTTTGTTTGCCTGCCAATCTGGATTTGGAAAGGAAGGGACAAAGAGAAATTTTACCTTCCTCTATGGACCAGGCGCCACAGACAGAGATAGAAGAGCTTCTTTGGTAAGAATTCTTACCCTTTGTCCACTTTGGCCAGTTTCCCCAGGATCCCTTCTGCAGGCTCCGGAGTGAGCGCGATACCCCAGCGTTCTCGTCCTGGTCACCAGGTACTTTAGGGGAGGAAAAAATAGTTTTCCCTCAACCCTCAACGGTGAGTGCTTGGCTGAGACGCCTTTTTCTGTAGGGCACCTCATAAATGGATAGGCTTATCTACGATGAAAGTTTACTGTGGCCACTGTAACTCAAGATTATCTTTGGTGAGGTTCACCTGCTCGTTCAGCCTTCAAACAAAAATTCTCACCGGAGGCCTCACACGGGACCCATTCCGGCCCTGGAACCAGAGGGTTTTGAAAGCTGACACAGTCCAACCCTGAATTCAGTCCTGTTTCCAAGTCGGACCCAGTCCCACGCCGAACTGCGTCCCCTTTCCAAGCTGGACCCAGTCCTTCCCTGGACCCAGCTCAGTTTCCAAGTCGGAC